CCACGAGAAGGTCTCAGTCGGCAGCATGTATTAACGAGAATCGGTGTTATGTCTCTGATTAGGAAGAAGGTATAGTTATTAAATACGTTAAATTACTATCTCGCTCCACAGTGTTACAAATTACAACAATATAATTATTGAAAAATACTATACATATGGTATTATAGGTACAGGAATTTGAACACATCAATGGCTATTATTCAATGCCAGAGATGATTCGTAAACCAGTAGAACCTGTGAAAGTCGGAGAGGGAGTTGGCGATGCAGCGACAGGTACTAGTAGCACTAGTGCTACTCCTGCTACTTCGAATGCTCCTAGTCCTAGTCCCGTTGCTACACCAACTCCGACTTCTGGTGCAAGTAACGAGACTACCAAAGCTAATTCTGATTCAGCTGAAGTTAAGGAATGTAAGGATGAATCAAAAGATAAAGAGGTTGGTATTGGATAGTTTTTTATTATTGTTTATTTGCTTAACGTGAAAATGCTTTAAGTTATCACTTCTCATAAATATATTAATAAATAATCATTTATTTTAGAGTGGTGATGCAAAAGACTCAAAGGAAGATTCGAAGAATTCTAAAGAAGAGGAGGAATCAAGTTCCGAGAAAGATAAGGAAAAGGAGGATTCTAAAAAAGAAGAAAAAGATTCTGAATTGGAGAACACAGACAAGGAGAAAGAGAAATCTGATGTAAAAGATGACAAAGTATCGAAACATGATGATAAAGTGGAGAGTAGTGAGAATAAGAAATCTGAACCAGAAGAAGATGTTGTTATCGTTAAAGATGATGAAGAAGAAGTTGAAAAACGAGAAGTATGTATGCATGCAGGATTGTAAAAAGATCTATTTACGTTTAATCAGCTTAATTCATATTGATTTAATTAGATTTCGTTTGTTTTTTTCAATGCAAAATATAAAGAAAAAAACGGTCTAAATCGAGCGGTAATAAGATTTTTTTATAAAATAAATTTCTAGTTTATAATGTTAATACCACATAAAAATAAAAAATAATATAAAAATAATATCAAACGTTTCGGAAACTCACGGATCTTTCTTCAGCGATTCTTATCAATATTACAATGTCATAGAGATGAAAACATAATCTTATGGCCTAAGCGGCATGATGTGGTACAATTTGTTGGAAAAAATTGGTTTTCCTGTTTTTGTGTGAATGTGGAAATTGTGTAATAAAATATTTGAAAACAGGAGCATCTTTACATATTCGTTTGATTCTGTTAAGCACAAGTGTTACAATATTTCATTTCATTGATTTATCATATTGATTTTTTTTCTAGGAAAAGGATAACAAAGAAAAAGATACCAAGGACTGTGATCAAGAAGTGATGAAACCTAAACGTAAATTCATGTTTAATATAGCTGATGGTGGTTTTACGGAATTGCACACGCTTTGGCTAAACGAAGAAAAAGCTGCTGCGCCAGGTCGCGAATACGATATTTGGCATCGTCGACACGATTACTGGCTTTTGGCTGGAATTGTAACGCATGGTTATGGGCGTTGGCAGGATATTCAAAATGATATTCGGTAATAGAAACTTTATAAGTTACAACATATCATTGTGTTTAGATGCTCATTTATCAGAAGTGTCAAAGGGTTTGCGAGTTATCACCGTGTTGTTGCTAATGCCAAACGTTTCATGAATTTTGTCGTTTACTCTATCAAAGCGAGGGGCGCACTGATAATCAATGCATTCTTGGCCCTGATAAAATGAACAAGATTCAGGAAACGTTGTCATTAGCGATGAATCACGATACGGCAATAATCTGCAAATCCTTTAGCATCTATCAAGAAAATATCTGACAACCTCAAAAATATGCATATTTATCCTTGTAACTCTAAACCCTCTAGTTTTTCATTATTTGGCTAATTTATGATTAAGTTTAACTTGATGTTTTACTCAATAAACTTCATTCGTGACATAATTGAAAAGCCCGTTGAATAAAACATCAGGTTAAGTCTAATCACAAGTAATTTAGATAATGAAAAACCGGACCTAAATTATAGAATAAAAGTGTTGATTGTAGTTTTGATGTTATGATGTGACAATATATTAAAATATTGTATAATTATTATAATTCAAAATTTTTTTATTTCTTCTTCTATTAAATTATTATGTGCATTATAGATTTGCAATTATCAATGAACCATTCAAGATGGACATGGGAAAAGGAAACTTTTTGGAGATAAAGAATAAATTTCTAGCGAGACGTTTTAAACTTTTGGAACAAGCTCTGGTAATCGAAGAACAGTTGAGACGAGCTGCCTACTTGAATCTCACACAGGATCCTAATCATCCTGCCATGAGTCTTAATGCACGATTCGCTGAGGTTGAATGTCTTGCTGAATCCCATCAACATCTTAGCAAGGAGAGCCTCGCCGGTAACAAACCGGCGAATGCTGTGCTGCATAAGGTTGGTTCAATAAAATTTATATATTTTTTATGTACGAATAAATTTTCCAACGTTAAGATGTCAATGATCTAAACGTGTTCTTTTTTGTTTTATAGGTGTTGAATCAATTGGAAGAATTATTGTCTGATATGAAATCAGATGTGAGTCGTTTACCAGCAACTCTGGCTCGCATTCCACCAGTCGCTCAGAGACTTCAGATGTCGGAGAGGTCAATATTAAGTCGTTTGGCGGCTACGGCACCCGGTGCCACTAGTTCTCAGACTGGACAGGCTGCGTTACTGGCTCAACAGTTCCCGGCCGGTTTCTCCGGTGGACAATTGCCAGCCACCTTTGCGGGTGCTGTTAATTTCGGGAATTTTAGACCACAATACTCAGTTCCGGGACAACCACCGCAAGGCTTTACAGGTTCGTGATAAAATAACACGATAAAGAAAGTGTGATAGTTATCCTCTCTTTGTAATAATATTGTTAATTACATATCATAATTTCTACATATTATAATTTGATACAATACAATTTTTATAACAAGATATTGTGTCTTACAGCCTGAATGTTAAGTGTTGGATCACAGTGGCTCAAACATGAACTCAAAATAGCGCAAATTGAACTGTCGCGAGAATCGTTTGCGCTGTAACATTATTTTTCGTAAATTACAGTTTTTAGCTGAATTTTTCTAGAAAAAGGATACGAAGAGATTTCCAAGTGAAAACGTAATATTTTACAAATCGAGTTGCATTACTTCTGTATTTATTACGTGTACATTCGGCATCTAGATTCAAGATTTCACATTCTCTGTATTTATACATGCGTTCTTCATAGGTAATATCGACATAGATTATTTTCTTAAGTTTTTTAAGGATTTGATTTACATCCTTCTAGCTCTTAATGTGTATTGCACGTAGAAACATAAAACGAATACATTATTTACTTAAGTCTATTTAAGACCTTTTAGTTTATAATATCAAACTTCTCCATGTCGTCACTTTTAAGGTGCTCTAATTCAAACACAATTTATTACTTGTAACTTATTCACGAAATTTGCGACAATAGGTTACGCGTGAGCGGCAAACTTTTAGAATATCCATACTTTAAGGCCTGCGGTTTATTTCGAATTGTATGTTCACTATGATGAACAACGGCAATCACTTTATGCGTCAAGACTGACATTTGGACAATGTAACTAAGAAACTGCTGCATAATGCACTTATTGTAATGCATGGGTTGTAAAATTTCGATACGCGCTACGGATTTTTTAATAATTTTTCATTTTTTAATTTAATTGTTAAGAAATTGGATATTTCCCTTATTCTTTCGACAAGAACAAAAAATAAGGATCATCATGTAAAGTAGATTCTCTTTTTATTTTTTATTTTTGATGGCATTTTTTATTACTTATAAAAGAATGAACCATTTTTATTGTTGCATTAAAAGAACAAACTTTCTTTATACTTATTAAGATTGCATTATATTAAGATAAGGGACAAAATATGCATTTCGAAAACTAATATAGACTGCTGTCTTTATTCTATGTGTGAACGTATGATATCAATAATGTATTTCTGTATATGATGATTTGATTTAGCTTATTTATAAAAAAAAGTACGATTTTCTGATTACAATTATGTATGTTAGAATTGTGTAAATTTTTTGAGACATTTGTGCCCCATGCATTACTGTAGAGTGAACTAATGTAATCATAACAAGATATTGACGATCTTAACTATTGTTCAGTCTTTTTTACCCCATTTTGAAAACCAGAATCACTTTAAAATTTTCGTTAACAAATTTGCCAAAAAAATTCTTTGGCATAAGTTTGCAAAATCGGTTTAGAGTTTAGCTATGGAATTTGAAAGACAATTTGAGGAAAAGCCGATGGGAGTGAATGGAATATTATTAAAAAGAAAAAAAAAGATTCGTGTATGTACTAGATCTACTGAAATAAATTAATAATTAGAATTGGATATGTATAATATATTTATCCTCAAGCTTGTAGTGTAATATTTAATATAAGCAGTCATTTAGAAAATGGAGATACATCTTTTGAATGAATACATATAAAATTAATACAAAGAGATTATGCGTGGAGAATTTTTTTATTTTTGTAATTTCTGTGATACAAATTTTTTAAATATTAGTGCTATATATATATATATATATATAACAGCTATAGTTATATATATATATAATTGTCTTTGTTAAGTGCTGTTTACAATATAATATAACTAATCATTTTTAGAATCTTCTTTGTTAATTTTCAAGATTTGAAAAATTTTTTAAAGTTTAGAGGATTCTTGAAATTTTTTAGATGATACATTTTTGGCAATCATGTTCTTACTAATGCGCACATTCGCACAAATAATTAAAGTGTAATAACAATTAAAGTGAGGTTAATTGTTATTATTTATATATATTACGGTATATCTCTGTGTTGGATGTGGTGATGACTGCACACACAAAAGAATTTTACAGTTTGCGTCGTGTGTGAATATATGTATACTTATTTTACAAAGAATTTATATAATATAATAAATCATTATTTAAAAAATCGAAGATTACACGTTTATCGATTAGCGATAACATCGGTGTTTTTATAGCGTGTGACTTTGCAAATTTCCATCAAATGGTAATTATCAAAACTTTTGGTATTTGAAGAGAAACGCAATGCTGTTTTATCCACTCGATATGTCTCTATAAATATATAGTAGTATCTACTCCATCTACTTGCGTCGTCGTTTCGAGTCTCGGGGGGTTGAGCAGAACTGAAGAAGCAAAGACGTAGACAACGTTTCTCGATCGTGTATCAAGAAGTGTATAAATAAGGGGGGGGTATTTTGAAACTCATATTTATCTCATATTTATCTCCTTCCATCTCATATTTATCTCCTCTTCTGTTTGCGCAACATTGCGGTCGTATTCGTACAATTTCAGTTCATTCCGGTCGATTACGATAATGGCAACTCCAAAAGTATGGGCGAAAATACAACCTCTAGAGAGCCCTGTTAATTTATTGGATATTACGACGGAACAATTGGCTGCGAGCATGCAGGAGAGGTAAATATTGCTTGCGACAAGTCCAGTTAACTTTATCAAAGATTTTTTCGTGTAAGTAGAAACTTCACAAAATTCTGAACTGTCCATTAATAAATTTAAATATTGTAATATATATCGTAAAAACTTGGTAACTTTCCTATGAAACATGTACGAGACGTGATCTTCATTTAATATTATAAAAATAAAACGTTAAAACATTACAAGTTGGTGCCAAAACACCTTTTAGAGATGGAATTAGACCATTTGTACCATGCAATTATTGTGTCTGAAGTCACTTTTATATTACAAGGGAATTGAAGAAATGTTTTGACAAGGATAACGTAAACTTAATGGATAAGACGCTGGGAGAAACATACGATGTAAGTGACACTGGCAACGATGAAGTCATAGCATATTTGTTACAAACTCAATTTAGTCGCGAGTATGACACGATGTTGAAGCGCACAGAAGAGAAGTTTAATCGTGACTCAAAAGGTGACAAAAAAACATGTCAATTTCCTTGTTTGTATCATTATTTCAAGTTATTCCTTCTTATTTCAGTGAGCATCTCACTTAGTAATTACCGTAGCTCTTTGTACAATATCAAGGATGATGATAATAATGCAGATTTTAACATAGATGACAGTAACAGGGATTTCGATCGGTTTGTTGTGAGTACTGTATAATGTTATAAATGCAATTCATAAGATATATGCATGCAAATTAGAAACTGCATAGATTAATTTGTTTATATTAACAATGTATTGATAATACATTGTTGTTTCAGAGTATAGAAAAAGAGTATGCTTCGATACCACGTTGCGGTTACAAGAAGATGGGAAAAGATTCTAAGATTGTTACAAAGCATGACATCTTAATGTCTTCCAGGATTAATGCTTGTCGGTTATTACAATTCCCACCAGGAATTCATACTGGAGACACTGGTGGTTTTGATGTCAAACTAAACAACAAAGTGTACAACACCTTGCGCGCTCACTGCCATGCGCAATACTCCAAGGAGAGGGCAAAAGTCTCACCAAAATCAAAAACTCATCCGAAATAGAATGTCAACACCTGATTTTTCTTCCTAAAGCAGTATTCTGTACTTCGTTTATGCCTGGTATATATAATATATCCCTTGGTATCTTATTTCACTAAAATTACGTTAATAAATCAATTTTAAATTATTTGAAAATTATTTCGTATAATGTAATTAACTAATATCGATTTCCTATTTTAATAATAGAAAACATTTATCGATCGCTCATAATCACTAATAACGTACAGAATTCTGTGTCCATAATCTCCTGCAATTGTTACATTTATGCCTAATTATTGTAAATACATCAGGATACTTGCATGACATGATGAATTTGTACATATAATTCAGTTAAATGTACATTTATATATAGATATATAAAATTCGAAAAATCTTGCAACTGGGAACATTAGTCAGAAATAAAATATACATATCCTTTATAAAAAAAAAATATATATATATCATAGCAACATAAAAAACAGAATTTATCGGATGCAAGATAGGAAATAATTACGTAAAGTTGTGAAACGGACAATGTTGCTATTGTTCTATAAGTAAACATGACTCATATGAATAATCAGTAAAAGAATCAATTCTTTTTTTTTGTATAGCACGCCTAATTGTTTATTAAACATACTATTAGGTATGCTATACATTTTTTTTTCGTTAAATCAAAATGTTATTGATTCAAATATTCAGTAAAAAAAAACATTTTTCTATCAAAATCTATGTGGAATTTATTAATTCTCTTGATATCAATTCTTATTCTGGATCACGAAAGTATCAAACGAATACACTTGCTATCAATAATGAACTGATTACAGAATAAACATGTATTAAAAAAAGTTTTGCTTCCCCTCTCCTTATATATATTTAATTATATTGGACAAATTTGGTGTATGTCACAGGGAAATAAATAAACGGATAAATTTACAGAAGTGTGTAAAAGACAGATGTATCCAAGCGTCAAAATTCATCTGTAAAATGTACGTATTACTTTATATATATATATATATGTGTGTGTGTGTGTGTGTGTGTGTGTGTGTGTGTGTGTGTGTGTGTATATATATATATATATATGACACCGTTTAGTATCAGTGTCAGAAGATATAAAAGAAATTATTGTACATTTTTTTACGAGATCGGTTTGTTACACAAAAAAATTTTAATATATTCCTATCTATATATCATTTCCATTTTTAAATATACGAAATGCATTTTTCAATAAATGCGGTGGTCAAAATACCGATTGTTAATTTAAATAAACTGCATGTATAGACACATCTTTTTCCCCCCCTTCTTTTGATTCCTATCTTTTGGTATATTTCGTGTAATCATATTTTTCATCCAGTAAAGTATATTTCACATAAAGTACTAGAATGTATCAAATATATGTGTGTGTGTGTGTGTGTGTGTGTGTGTGCGTGTGCGTGCGTGCGTGTGCGTGTATATATGCTGTATGCGTGTATATATGTGTGTGTGTGTATCTGGTGTGTATACACTGCATAAGCTTGTATCCCTTGACAAGTGTCTTTCATGACAGTATCATTTTTCCGATGGAATGATACTAGAACTTCAAGAATGTCATCGAAATATTCATCGTAATTAGTCGTCTAGATCGTTAACGTGAAGAACCTCTCTGTGAGTTAAACCTGCATTCGATAGAGTCAAAATGTCTTTACAAGGATAGAGGACTCTTCTCGGATAACTCGTTGTTATCTCGAAACTCGCTGGAGAATCTGGTTGGCTGAATATCCAGTAATAAACATCCTAAAAAAAATCTTATTTTTATTTGTATATATCATTATTTTGCTAAGTCAATAATAATAAATGGCATGTAATTGCATGTGTACAATGCTGATTAAGAGAATATATTTCTCAATTTATACTTATATCTTAACACATACACATGTACAAATAAGCGAAGATTATATTTGATCAAAGCAGTCTTGTTACTTGATATTTTTAATTTTTAATATTTTTATGAATTTTACAATGCCCACTTCAAAAAAATAACGAGTCGATTATATATCGATTTCGAAACAGTCTTAAACTGAAGTTGGAATAACTAAAGTCTACTTAAATTGGAAATTATAAAATTTACACAAAAATATATATCTACATATTATTCGGCATCAAGATGATTTTGATCGAATATAACCTTCATTTATTTGTGTCGAATATTTCTTGGTCGATTTTCACTTACTACTATCTATGTTTATAATTGTTTATACTGATTACCTCGACTGTATCAGTCATAAGAAATCTTCTTTTCATCGTTCTCTCTCCAAGTTTGATTTGAAGGTGACATGCATTGGGATTAGATGGTTCCGGTTCGAGGGGCACTTTGTCAATAGTTAATTCTTTCTCAAGGCGTATGCGTTGAATTTCCAACTCCTGAGCGTTTAATTCTTCCTTTTCTCGGGCCTCTTGCTCCTCACGTGCTCTTCGTTCCTCCTCTCTCCTGCGATCCTTCTCCTGATCCGCACGTAATGACTCTTCATAAGCGCGATCCTGTTGTTGTCGAAGTGATTGCGCCGCGCTACGTTCTGCCCTAAAATAAAACACATATATCAGTAAATATTCAAAGATAACTTTTAATTACTGTCATCTATTTCTTTCTCGTTTCTCTTGCAAAGATTGAGATATTTACAAATTTTACGAACCTTTCTCGACGTGCTTGGATAAGATTGATTTCATTACGTTCTATGATTGTTTGCAATCGCGACATTAAATCAGAAGAAGATGGCGCACCTTCCAATCTATAACAGAAAAAATAAGTTTATCAATTCAATTTTAAATATTGAAGAGCTATACAAATATTTGTTTCAAAGTATGCAGATAGATTAGCCTTACGTACCGACCGACTATTGTCATTCTATTGTCCTTTAGTACAATAAGTGCTAGGAAGGGATATGAACCTGATTTAAGCGCTTCTGCGACTTTATAACCCTCTCCGGATTTTACATTACATGCCCAGAACAAAGTATGTATGTTTATATATCTTATCACTTCAGGATCAAACAATGTATTTCTGGAAAAAAAAAACGCATTTCTTATGTAGGATTCATACCACTGTACGAGATCCGATATGTAACGTTTGATATTCAATAGAATTTGTTTTTTGGAGGCAAAATAAAGCTGTAAATAGAACTAAATTCTTTTATTGGATATGATGTCGTCAGATATGATGCACAATATAAATCCATCTTTATTGTATGTATATATTTTGTATATGTATATGTATAGGTAGAGTCCACTTAGAGAGAGTGGACAGTGTCGATATTGTCCTAGTTACCTGCTGTACAATATCAACATTGCTCGACCTAATTGAGCAATGTTGACACAGCTTGGACAATGCAGACACTTTCCACTTGTAGACTTTGCCCACAATATATATACTATCTATTAGAATCCTAAGATTACCTGCACCATTGGTCAACCTCCTGCGCTTCATCTTTATGCAGATATACCAAGAGAAATCTTAATTCTTGTTTCGCGTCTGAAAGAGCTTGACTGTAGGAGCCCTGATAAAATACTGGATGAATATTACCATATCGCTCCTCATAAGATCTAATAAAGCTGACTACATCTTCCACTGGATCAGAGGACACTTGAAAGACATTATTTATTTGCTTTAATTAGCACATAAATCATAAATTTATATGTATGCGATATATTACAAAGATAACAATTATCAAAATTAATTTTAATTTGCAGTCAGCAAATTATCTTATAAGATTTTAATTAAATCTTGCATATATGTGCTATATAGCATAAGTAGAAAAATTTGCTTCGAAACATTTATTTTAGACATAATTATAAAATACCCTGTATAAATGTCTTTGTTAATTTTTAAGAAAAGAAATTAATTCATAATAGAATAGATGGTTTGTTAATGTACACTACTTACCAGGTCTAACATTTCTTTTAAATATTGCAAAAAGTAATTGCAGGATACTGCTCACTAGATTATAACACATGGAAAAAATATAGGATAAGAAACCACCACCTCCACCAGAGCTTCCAGGATAGCTAAAATAAATTCTTGAACTACTATCATCTACAACTTGGGGTGGGCGGGCGTGTGAATCCTGTGCATACATAGATGGCCTGCCTTCATATAAATTTAATTGCTCCTATAACACAGAGAAACATTTTGAATGATACAAATTGGAGACTTTGTCTGTTTTGTATCATGTTTACATAAGGCATTTATATCAACAATATAGAAAATCATTAATGATAAATAAGTAAGCAGTTTGTCATAAATAGAAAAACGATATAATTTTATCCACAGTTAATCATTTTGGATAATGTTTAATATATAGTAAAAGTTAGGAGTCTTAAAATGTTGGACTAGGCTCCATATGACTTTACTATGACCAAAAGAGATAATTCAAAGATCAGTTTTTATAAAATATGGATGATCCTTATTTCAATATCGTTTTAAGCAATATTTTAAGATGTTATATCAATGTAAATATCGATCATAAAACCATATTCATTACTAAAAAGAAAAAACAGAGCCATATTACCATCTTAAGATAGAAATCAAAATAAGAACCCATTATGAATATTCAATAGTCTATCCTTTCACTCATTGTCAGAGTAAAGTTTCAGAACGCAGTCGTGTGAGAATAAATTAAGAGATATAAAAGAAAAATAATATACTTGAACTGCCACTTCCAAATTCCAATTGTGCCTCTGCAAAACGTCTCTGCATACCGAGAGATCTTCAATGCCGGTGAGATCCTGCAGATTATTACGTGAAATCATTCACAATATCGGAGTAATGCACGTAACTATAAGATAAGGAACGAGCGAGATTGTACCTGGAACTGCAGTACTTTTTCGGTTTGATCGCCGCTCAGCTCCCCCAAGGCGAGGTCTGCCATTGCGACGTTATTTGTCCGATAAATAGAGAGAACGAGATGTTTGAAAATCCGGTTATCGTACCCGTAGTTACATCGAACTCATCAGCTGATGTAAGGATCGCAAACACGACGTAGGTTATAACGCGAGGTCGTAATCATTTGGATACGTAAGTCTCCGGCGGGAGTTAACCTCCAGCGTTGTTCAAGTCGAGCGGCGAAGTCTCCCGAGTCGTCACGACGCGATTTGCCTCATTTCTCTGCTGTATACACGATGTTTTTCGATGTCATGGCTCACTACGGTAAAACTTACACTTTAAGATCATCTCATGCACACAGTCATGCGACTCCGAAAAAGGCGACGTCGACAACAACCAACGGTCGGTATCACAGACATCTATACTATCAGAGAGAAACCTGAGAGCGGCCATGGCGGCCTTTTTCCTGTAATGCTTTAGGGTGCAATCACATGAAGTCAGAAATAGTATTGAAGAAATAGTATTCTAGTATAAAGTAATTAGGTTTGTATAATAATTATTTAAATAAATTTGGGTAATTATACAGAATCACTCGAGCATCTTAAAAATCGATCAAATTAGGCTTATTCGACGCGTTTTTGCATGAAACGAAAGAATCTGGCAGAAATAAGCGTCGCTCTGCCCTACGAACCGAGATATTTAATGTTAAAGTTGACGACTATTCAGGTTAGGAAATCTGTCTTACCGACTATATGTAGTGCTACGTGTATGCTTTCTTCATGCTCTCTGACCTCGTGCGCATGCGCTTGGTATGGTTTGAGTCCAATAGTATGCACGATATTTGAAATTAACACTGCCAAACAAATATAATATATTGTTGTCAGACGCGAAATTCTACAGTTTTCCCTGTTCAGAAACGTTGAACTTTCCACGCGAAGTAACTTCCCCCTCTCCTGCACAGGGGCACACGACTTCTACGATTGTACTGTCGGGACAGACCTCTGTCCATCTCTCCCTCCCCCCCTGCTGAGGGGCGCGGGACTTCTACGATTGTACTGTCGGGGCAGACCTCTGACGACGGTGTGGGTGCGGGGGGATGGCC